CTGAGAACAGTAAAATAACTTTTACAATATTAAAATGTCAACTAATTTTTTTTGGATTTTTTTTCAGATATTGCTCTATAAAACCTAAGTCAGTAAGTACCTGAAAACAAGCTTAGCATCAGAGAAACATAAACCAATGCTACAGGATAAATTTGACTTCATACTTACCAGGATAACTCTCATAAAAAATAAAAAATACAATGGGTTGGCACTGAGGTTGAGAAATTAGAGAAATCATACACTCCTGATGCAAATATAAAGGAAACAGTTGAGGGTAAAAAGCCTCAAAATTAACCACCAGAAAACCAGAAGCAGCACTGTGATTCAAGTGGTACAGTGCTAGCCTTGAGCAACAAAAAAGTTCAGGGAAAATACCAAGGCTCAGAGTTCAAGTCCCACAATTGACAAAAAGAAACTGAGCACAAAAAGAACCCCAAAGTGCCACTGAAATATTCAGCTACTTACTGATCAGTATATTTGCATGGCAAAGAACCACTGTAAAAACTATTAAAGGGAATTGTGCCTAGTAATTGATTCATGAAGGCTTGACCAAATTATTTTATGTTCATTTTATTGGTAAGTTTCTTAAAACAATAATTAAACCTTATGCAAACATACAGGACATTTAATTTTTTCTTTCTTTCTTTTATTTTTTTGTCGGTTGTGGTACTTGAACTCTGGGCTTGGTCACACTCTTGAGCTCAAGGTGAGCACTATACTGCTTGAGCCACAGCACCACTTCCGGTTTTCTGAGTGGTTAATTGGAGATAAGAATCTCACAGATTTTCCTGCCTGGGCTGGCTTTGAACCGAGATCCTCAGATCACAACCTTCTAGGTAGCTAGGATTACAGGAGTGAGCCACCAGCACCTGGCTAGGACATTTTCATTGTAGCCTTTATCATTGTCTTCCTCATTGAAATCTTTAGAAAATAATTTTAATATAAATACAAAAAATGAAGTGCCTCTAGAAGAGCTATGTGACTCTCAAGATCATTGGACAGCCTGTTGGCCATGGCAGTCCCCAGACCCAATCAGAGGCTCCACACATTCTGCATGAGCTCTCCATGTGTTGTTTAGCCCCTCTGACGGATGCCCATTCTGGTACACTACTCTGGGTTCCAATCAGTCTATGGCTATGTGTAAGTCTTCCAGGGGCCATGAAAGGATGTTCAGGGTCCCACACGTGTGACTGCTCAAGATCATGGTGCTGGGATACTTAGGGTATTGCACACAGGACTGCTCAAGGCCATAGAAAAGGATGCATAGGTGGGGGTGGGGTGGGGGTGGAGGCTTTTCTCTGATTGCCTTGCCAGGCTCTTTTTCTGTTCTCACTAGCTACTCAGGAGGCTAAGATCTGAGGATCAAGATTCAAAGCTATTCCAGGCAGGAAAGTCTATGAGACTCTTATCTTCCATTAACCAACAAAAATCCTGAAGTGGAACTGTGGCTCAAGTGATAGAGCACCAGCCTTGAGTGAAAAAGGCCAGTGAGAGCTCAAGGACCAGAGTTTAAGCTCCAGGACACTCATTTCTCTCTCTCTCTCTCTCTCTCTCTTCACACTTACACACAATCACACACACACACACACACCCACACCATTCCCAACATCAACAGACTCATGGGGGACCCCCAGGAAGATCACCAGGAACATGGTGGCTCAGTCCGAATCATAGCTCTGCCCATCAAACCATACAGATGGCTTGTGGCTAAAGAGACGTCTGCAAAGATCTTGTTCAAAGCTTCTATAGTGTACAGAATCCATTTGGCTTCAAAGGATGGTAGATGCCAGGGTTGGGCAAAGTAGGAATAATAGCTTGGATTGAGAGTGTTTGGCAAACTAGAGGAGGTCCATCATGCCCCCACCTCTCCAGAAGGGGAAGATGAGCTGTGCCCTGGAGAGGGCAGGGCTCTCATGCCTTGATAATCAGAGGGGTATACCTCAGTGTGAGATCTCAAAGAGCAAAAGTTCCAGCCATTGGATGGCCAACTTTGTAGTCTGATTCAACAGGTATGTGACCTTAGAATCAGCTGTGGTGGAAAACACAATGGCAAAATGGCAACATTTCTAGATTCTCCCTCACTTGAATGCAGGCCCCTCACGTTAGTGCTTGTTCCCCTTTACTCTCAGTGAACTCTAGACATTTCTCAACACAGTCACCATATCCTACTGCTGTAAATGAGTGTTTCATCCAGAGAACATAGTAAAATAACAATGAAGGCACCAAGAACCTTGACCAAGCAGAAAGATGTAGTTCTAATCAGGAAGCAGCCCCTGCTGCAGGAGAACACGCAACAGTTGAAAAAAAAAGTTTTATGTCCAGGCTGACAACAGGCCCAGATTTCAGGACCCACGACCAGACACAAAAAAAATACACTGCATTTGTACCTTATTCTGTACTTTTTATTGTTCACACATGGACTTGGTAAAACGTATTTTATAGAAAATGATCTGCAAAACTAAAATGAAAATAACATATACTGCAGAGATAAACTGCTGAATTATTAGTAATTACTTTCATATGTACAGGTGATCATGTAGTAGTGGGTCATTTTTCTTAAGTCTGCAACTAGACCATGACTTGTAGCATGTTAATGCTGAAATGTGGATGCAACCATGTCTGTTAACAAGACTACTGCTCACTAGTGTCTAAGAAAGGGGACAGTCATTGCTTTGCTTTCACAGACTTTTCTAAGTCCATTCTGTATGCACTCTCTCTGCCTCTCACGGAATGAGTTGTATAGAATGATGAAGCAAAAAAATCAATTTTTTTTATTTTTTACAGAAAAAAAAACTAGAGCCTATTTACAAAACATGCCAAAGGAGAATTTCATGCCAGTGTCTCTGCAGAACTGTTCTAAAGTGAATACAGTTGAGTAACAGAATACACTTTTACTTCTACAAATTATAGGTTCTTCCCTATTTTCTGGGAAAAATACATTTTCAGGGCATGGACTGTAAAACGGCATACAGTGCAAAGACAGAAACAAGGAAGTTTGCAAATCCTTTTATATTTCCAGCTGTTGAAACAATATATTTGAATGCTGAAGTTACCTCTAGCGGCAAAACCAGTCAGCTATTAAGCTGCGAGAATGCTACAGTAATTGAATATATAACCATCTCTCTTTTTGCATGCTCTTTGTTCTCCTCTTCTAGAAGTTGTAGGTATCTCTTTAGTTTGACTATCTATCGTCTTAATGAAGTTGCATCTACAACAGTCATGTCATCTGATGTCCCTTCGATTGTGGCATCTATATGAAATGGCATACATGGAATCGTTCCTGACCAGCTGTCCATTTTGGCAAACAGCATTTTCACTCATAGAGCACTCTCTCTTTAGCCTGCCAACTGCACGGATTTCTTCATTTTGAGGGGTTGGAGGAGGCCTTTCTAAATCCAGAAAATCTAGTGGTCTTTCACTCAGTGTAAGTACACGGGGCGGTGTTTTTAGTGCCAGAGGTTTAAAGGGAGTTGACTGGATACGGTCAAGATCTGCTGGTCTTGAAAATGAAACATCTTCATTATTTCCTGCTACACCGATCCTCTCTGGAACCTGCATACCACACTAGCGTTTGGAATGCCTCTTGGAATCCTTGCTCCAGGCCAGCATTTGGTGGAGCAACTTTTTAATTTTTCTGGGACCCTCATCTGCTGACTAATACACCTCCGGTGTATTCCATTTCATACTGAATCTGACTAGTTCCTGCCATCTCAGCAGCAGTGGGAGAAGGAAATGCTGCCTCACTCACCAAATGGGAACCAACTACTTCTTGCTACCTGGCACTATCTGCTTCTGTGTACATACTGAATCCTTTAACTTGCTTCAATGTGCATGCGCTGGATTTAGAGCCACTTTTGTCCCCCTGGCCCGCTGGAGAGTCCTGGGACGGAGAGAGCCGCCGCCCGCGGGCTCCCGGGTTGCCCGGTGAGTGCTCCAGGAGGCCTTCGGCCAAGCGCATTGAGAAGCCTGGGCCAAGCACCCGCGAAGCAGCCATGGGACAGGGACGGGCGCCGGCTCCATGTTTTGATAAAGCTCCCATATGGGAAAATATACATAGCTCTGTGGGTTTTGAGAATTTTTAGCAATGCAAAAACTTCAAGATGATTTTCTACAATATACAATTATATACATATATATGCATATATACATATATAATAAGTTCACTGAAGAGGGATCAAAATAAAAACAGTTTTGTTAAAAAAAAATCTAGTTTTTTTGTTTTTGTTTTTTTTCTGTTGGTCGTGGGGCTTGATTTCTAGGCCTGGGCGCTGTCCCTCAGCTCTTCAGCTCAAGGCGAGAGCTCTACCACTTGAGCCACAGTGCCACTTCCAGTTTTCTGGTGGTTTATTGGAGATAA